ATTAAAAAAATTTACTTCAAATAATAATTGTTAAAAGGATGCATCTGGCTGCACTCGATTATCGAAAGAAATGTTTTTACATAACGGCGATTTATAGCTTTAGTATAAATGATATTAAAAGTTTGTATTTTGGTGATTTTTTTCACTGTTTTACGCAGCTAATTGTTGGATTTTGTATAGTATAGTTTATTTTAACAATAATATTTAACTTTTTCAATAGTATGATTTTTACTAGTCATTTTTATTATATTATTATTAATATTTCATATTGTATTTATCGAATATTGTGTAATGTTGTATAAAAATTGTTTTATTATTGTAGATGAACTTAATATATTGGTTTTCTCTTATTGGCTTGTAGTTTTATTTAATAACGTAGTAAGAGAAGTACATATCGTCGGCTGTATGCAATACTGGCTTAACTCAAAAATTAGTAACACAACACAAAATTTACTTAACATCACCAGAGGACTTGAAATGGCCTTATTTATGATCTGCAAAACTGGCACAATAATAATAATAGCAAAAATGTCCGCTAGACGTCACTAGGTCGCTTGACATGTTGTCCATTAAGATACATTATTTTTGCAGTACTGGCCCATTTAGTTGTGCAGTGGAAGTCGAACCCTGTCGATATCAAGTTTCTATGCAATACCGGCACTTTTAAGTTGTGCCACTATAGAAGACAATTTTAGATATTTTCAAACTGTATCAGTGAGAATTTTGGAGTTGTCACATTAAATAAAAGAAATAAATTTATTGTTTTAAAAATGTCATGATTCAAAAGATTATCAGAAAAGAAGACAATTAATCCTATCTCGAGCAGGAGTAACGTAAGTGATAATATCAATATTATTTTAATGTATAATTCCAAATAATCGATTTAGTAGAAAACTTTAGACGATTTTTTGATTACATCTACCGGTTTAAACAAAAAATAAACCCATTTTAGTTCTAATGCGGACTCTCATTACGTGAATGATGATGATGATGTATCGTCTACATTTACAGAAGTCTCTGATGAAAATGTGGAGACTGAAGTACCAGAAGACGTGACGATTAATAAACCTTAAAGTAGGAAAAGTAAGGCTTGTCCAAAACAAATGGAAAAGAAATGTCAGAAATAGGTAAAAAGAAATAAAATAAGACTTACAATCTATTTAATTATACCACCAACGACCGGTTTCGTATACTACAATTTGCTATGCATCTTCAGTCTTACGGTACCTCGTAAGGTATGTTTCTTCAACTATTTTAAATTAACAGAGCCGGATTAAATACAGTTAAAGATGGAGTTTAAAAGTACTTTAAAATCATAAATTATAGTAAATTGGGAAGTAATTTCGAATGTATTAAAATTTATGAAAGAAGAAAAGTCATTGGGGGAGTTGCAAATTCCGTTAAATAAGCTTTTTGACATCGTTGTTGCTGCTACAGATGTATCGGAAAGGAGTATTCGAAACATCGTAAAAGAAAAAAGTAAAATAAATGCTGGTAAAACTTCATCATTTGAGTCTCCGAAGAAGACTAGAAACAAAGAAAAACTAAAAAGTAATCTCGACGATACGGATAAAGCTGTATAAAGAATAATTGTTCTAAATTCATATACTACAGATAAAATTGTACCCACAATGCCAAACATTTTGAGAGAATTCAAAGAAACGAGTTACGAGGATTGGTTTCCGCTGGAGAAAAACAAAAACCAATAGGAAGCTTTTGATGAAAAACAAGATATTCGTCACTTAAGATTGTCGTATTTACGTGCCATAAAAAGCTACAGAAAAGAAAATAGGCCGATAATATACCGGGTGGTGAATCGTCAAACGGACCATAGGAAACTCAATGAGAAATTTTAAATTGTTGAATTGCTGCTTCCCTAATTATTTTAGATCAAAAGTCATAAAAAACTATTTGTAGAGGACTAAAATCTGAATTAAAAACAAATGTTAAAACCGTTCTACGAATCAAATGTACTTCAAAATTTTGCAAAAATATAATACATTTTTTAGGCCACCCCTAAAAGTTAGGCCACACGTAATGCAAGAATATATATTAGAACGTGTGTGTTTTATCATATTGATGTCAGATATTTGACAATTTGAATTGTCAATTTTTTTATTTTATGAATAAATTATAAACAATGAATTTTACTAAATACTACTACTAATGAACATTATTACTTTGTGAACAATAAATTATATTGTTTACAAATCGATCAATATAATGAAATGTACTCAGTTGACGAAAAATCGCATAATGTTGTATTCAGGCAATAGCGAACCTTTTCCTGCCACTACCGGATCTTTATTTAACGTAAGATATTCTAATTCACTAAAATTTAATTCCATGTTAAGTTAAGTTATACAACAATTCAATGAATTCCAATATACTGTTACTGTGATCTTTATTCCTAATAATAATATATGATAATTTCTAAACATAAAACTATAACAAATGTTATAATAAAACATGAATAAAACATTTTTATTATTGCTTTTTTCTCCTCAACTGAGTACATTTTTTAATCAACTTAATTTTTTTTTAACAATAAATCACAAAATTTTGGCCATTTAAATCATAGATAAATATAATATAATTGATTTAAATATTGTCAAATATCAGAAACAATAATATGACAAAACGCAACACGTAATACACATTTTTTCACAGAAAAATGTATTATATTTTAGCAAAATTTTGGAATACGTTTAAGTCGTAGAATAATTTTAACAGTTGTTTTCGATACATATTTGAGTCCTCTACAAATAGTTTCCCATGACTTTTGGTGTAAAATAATTAGGGAAGCAGGAATTTAACAATTTAGAATTTCCCATTGAGTTTCCTATGGCCCGTTTGACGATTCACCACCCTGTATATATGGAAGAAAAGCATCCACGCTTTCCATGCGACTAATATGTGGTGGAAAGTGATTCAAACGAGGGACAACGAGAGACCTATATCAATGGACAACTGTTGATTATAGTGCATGCTGGTGGAGAAAATGGGTTTGTAAAAAATGCACAACTAATTTTCAAATCTAATCCATCAACCGGAGATGAATCACGAAATGAATTTTGAAAATTAGAAAAAGTAGTTGATTTAATGTCAATTCGGTGCGTTCAGAATTTATGTAGGCCTAATAGTTTACGCATAATAACGTTGTAGATAAAAGCTTTTTGGGAAAAACAATTTCATTTTTGCAATAACCATTTTAGTTACCAACGTTTGGCAACAGTATGCCATATGTGTTGTTCCAGTTTAAAGCCGGTTCAAGGCGTTGTTTACAAACTATGAGATAAATAATATTTTTTACTATTACACTGTAATATTGGCATAACAAGGATAAAATCAAATTGGCATGTTTCGTTGAATTAGTTTATTCAGGTGTTTTCTTGGCTTGATTGTGGGTTATTATGATAAAAGTTTTCGATTGAGGTTAGGTCCAGGAAATCTCAACAGATGGTTTTGACATTGTTGCCGAATAGGACAAAAATACGCGAGAGTTATGGGGCAAAACAATGCGATAGAGCCCCAGCCTTCATGAAAATCGTAAGTCAGAATTTCTGTACCTGGTCCTTCAAATATCGAAAAAGAACCTGTTACTTATACGAAAAACTCCAACCCTCATCAAAATCAGAACAGTCAGTAATTTCACCTTCAGACATTATTCCCTTTCCAAAAATTAAGATGCATGCTATTTAGGGTGGCAGTGAATAAAATTAAAATAGCTATGATGGTTACCAACGTTCTGAAAGGACATGGTACATGAAGAAGAAAAATTAAGATAAAAAGGAAACGAAACATGAAAAGTTTGAAGTCAACCCTACTAACATCGACACCTAATAAAAAGCGACTTTTATAAGAACAAGAAAGAGAAGGAAGCAGAAAAAGAGTAGGAGAGGAAAGCATGACTAAAGAATTAAAAGATCAAATCTCAAAGTGCTTAAGTTCGTGCTGCCACAAGAAAAGTTTTCGACGAATCATCATCTGATTAATCAGTAGCACTCTCATATCAAGAAAGTATTGATTCCTGTGAGATTCATTTTTCCGATAGCGATGAACAGCAAGACATTGATGTTGTACCAAATATTTTACCTCATGACTTTGTCGTAGTGAAGGTTTTTGGAAAAAAATCATACAGAATATGGGGGCAAGAGTAACCAAATGAAGATTTTTTTTAAACTTTTTTTTCCCATTTATTAGTGAACTTATAGAACTACTTTTTAGAGTTGTTGTCTGTAATTCTACATTTAATAATACACCATTTATCTTCTTCCAAGCTTTATTCTTTAAAGTAAATTGTACAATGTTGAATATCCCTTCACCAGTGTTCTACCTTCTACTTAACCTATATCTGTCTTAAAAAAACTAAATCTTCTTCTTTTTTATATAATTAGTGTCTGTATAATATACCTGCTCTCTAATAAAGATTTTAACGTAGAGTTGATATATATATTTTAACACTACTGTCGATACTTAAAATGGAAAAACAATATGTAAGCTCTCCCGTAATACCATTGGAAAAGTTCTAAACTATTATAATTTCAGAAGACGACAGCAGATAAAGAAACTGCGTGTTTTTGTTCCCAACTACCCTAAGCAACAAATTAACAAAAAAAAATTAATAACTTTACAAACCCCCATTTTAAAGAATTTTCTATGCTTTTTCAGTAAAATTGTGTTACTTTCATTGTTTATAAGTAAAAATGACATTTAATCTTTTGCATATTTTGTTTATTACATAGTATTTTTTAACTCAAATCTATCAAAAGCAGTTGTAAGATACCTGTATCAACAAATGTCACGGTGAAAATCCTTAATTCTCTTGTCTACTTGACTTGATTTGTAGTGACGGTACAATTGATTACAACAAAACAGCAAGCTAAATATTTAAATTTACTCTTTTTATATATTATCATAGTCTTGTAGGAGATGCACGAGTTGCAAACCTAAAAAATAGGGACAGTAAAAATCAAGAACACATAAAATTGCTTAAACATTTATTTATCCCACAGTCCAATCTCCTTCATTTTAGTTTGAAAATACTGTTTTAGGTTTTCGGCACATTGATAGTATTCCGTTTCTGGGGAGTTGTAGAACTTACAGTTTGTAAAAATTCTCATCATATCTGCGATGAATAGTCGCCTGGATACATAATATTTAGCCTTCAGTCTCTCTGCCATTGTTTTTAAATCTAAAACAAACATGGTAAATCTGAATTATGCAGCATAGATTAATTGCTGAAAAAGTAATTGAAAGAATGTTTGATGATAGATAACGGTTATCAGTTATCACAATAAATGTTTCACAGTAGGTCTTACCCATAGGATATTTAATATGATCATAATAATCAGTCACAACATGTCTATCTACGGGATGTCTAAATGGCCACGAATCTTCATGAATACGCACCTAGAAACAAAGTAGCATAAAGAATAAAATTTATAATAAATAGTACATTTATACAACAGAATAAGAAAGCATCAGAAGGTTTAGACACAAGGTCACTGGGCCGTAGCCCATGTGGTGGGCCGAAACTCAGGGTTACATTGTGTTACATTGTGTGGTTACAATATATTCGCCCTATACATCGATACCTTACAAGGTTAATATGAATAATAAGATTGTGTTAGACAAAAAATTGTGAGAACTGTCGCTATTTTTAGGGTTTATATATCAGCACAAATAACCTTCCGACTGCTTCTTATTCTATATTTATACTTACTGCAGTCAATACGCTTTTCAAAAGACCCAATAAAATATCTGCATCCTGAGATTCCTCCAATAGCTGCCCTCTAGTGGTCCGGGCTGCCGGTTTCCACCCAGTCTCTTCTATTCCCGGGATTGATTCGATGGGTATACTTCTAACACCTAGAACATATATTTTATATAAGCGTGTCATATTTGAACGAAGAATCTTGAGAGGAATATTCGGTGGTATATGTGAAAACCATGGACGTATAAACACAGATGGACTCAGTTATTTACATAAAATTGTGAAGTCAAAATTATTTGAATAGGTCACATTCTCAGCACCTTCAACTGTTGTCACGTTTTGTTTTAAAATTTCTTATTCGCGAGTCGCTGAAAATATTACTCCGTATTTTATACTCTACAGGTGCTATCAAACCAAAATAATAATTTATTGGTTAGATTAATATATTTAATTGTAATCAAAATATAAAGTGTGCACATAGTGTGCATTATCATTTAATAATAGCGTATAATAGATATCAATCAATTATTTTATATGTAGAAGCACTGAAAACTATTTATAAATGGCAACGGTTGTTTACATTTCTCTGTCTTATGGATCTACGTCAAACTTCAAATGCTGTTCCATGTTTGTTTACTTTTTAGTAAAAGTTGTTTTTCGATATTTTGGCTGTATTTTGAGTGATATTTGTGAAAAGTGAAATAAAATAAACGAAATATTTACATCCCGATCTCTCATTTCATTTGTAAGTACATACAATTTACATTATTTAAGATGAGGAAATGAGGAAGCGTGTTTGTTTACATTTTAATAGGCGTACCATTGGGTTTATTCATGTTCATTAATGTATTAAATAAGATATAAGTTCATGAAATTAGTAGACATTTTTAAATTGTAAGTAGACATCATCTGATTAAAAAAGATCTATTTAGTACCTTTTTAATTTAATATTTCTCATGGATGCAAATAAATTAGTGAAATGAATAAAACTCATTTATTTTTCTATGTAGGTTTCCAAATAATATTGACGATCGAACTATTTTGGTAGCAAATTTAGGAGAAAACATAAAGATTTTTTATTGTAGCATTATTTTGATACCTATTAAAAATTAACTTGAATTCAACTATATTTTATTGTATTAATTTTAAAGCAAATAAAATTGTATTTTAATTTTTCTATAAAGACGTGATTTGTTAATAGTTAAACTCTCGTTTTTTTAAATTCTTTGAACGTGTTTTTATACATTATTACTACTTTCAATTTTTAAAATCTGAATAATTACCCGCGAGTAAAAATTCAAGCACGCTTATGCTCATTGCGGAAGCATCACATTCTATCGAAGCTTCAAAACATTGTGTGTTAAAGGTATCTTATTGCTGTGTCCATCTATGTTTATACGTCCATGGTGAAAACGGTATTTGGAGGAGGAGGTAAAACTATGAAATATACCACAAATACAAACAGATATATAAAGACGTGATATCTCTCATACAAATAGGAAGACTAAGATGGGCAGGACATCTAACAAGATAACAGCAGAACCAACCTCCTAGACAAATCCTTATATCAGAGCCGGTGGGAAGTAGACGGAAAGATAGATGATGATAGAAGATGCTAGAAAAAAGGGTACAGCAAAATAGTAACGATTGACTTCGGAAATAAACTAGGAAGATTGAGGCTCTAGTATAGCGTTTTTTTTAATGAATTGCCTTATTATGTAATTGGTAAGTAAATAGTAAATAAATGTAAATGTATACGAACTAGACTTGAGTGCAATATAATCGATTTAAAATTATTTTGCGTAAGTACCTCTCCTGTTTCAATTTAAAAAGTGTAAATTTAAAAATATCCCGTGTACAATCATTAACCTCATTATTTAGTTTTAAAAAAGTTTTGTTTTTGGGTGAACACGTAGAGAGGGGGCCAGAATTTGACTCATTGAAATCGATACGCATCGACTTGTTTCGGTTAACATCGTACGCATCAATTTCCATAGCAACCCACTAATACATCAGTCACTTATACGAAGTTTGCAAGAGGATACCACATCCGATAAAGCAGATCAAGCAGGCACTATTGAGAGAAGACCTGAGCCAGAGGGCCGTGGCAAATCGACTAAATTTAAGTCAATCAGCTGTGTCCGAGCTGAGTGTATCGTCGGTACCAAGATACTGGTGATTATGTCCGCCGACAAGGAGGAGGCCGCAAACGAATAACAACGGAGAGAGATGATCGATTATTGTATCAAAATCCCTGAGAAATCAATACTTGACAGTTGCTTAACTCAAAGAAGACCTTACAGAGGTCCGAGGTGTGATTACCAGCGTTTGGGCAGTCAGGAGACTCAAGGCAGCCAACCTGACACCAAAACGTGCAGTTACGCAAACATCTGGATTGGGACGACTATCAACGGGGTCAGGTAGTAGTCTCAGACGAAAGTAAGATCTGCCTATGGCAAAGACAAGAGGCGTCGAGTCTATAGAAGGCCAGGAGAGCGATTTGCTCAATGTTATATACGAGGAACTGTGTCATATCACCACCACCTATCTGACTGAGATTGGTATATCTACAATAAATTGGCCTGAGTTGGGACCAGACTTAAATCCAATAGAGCATGTTTGGAATGAGCTTAAACGAACGGTCCGGGACAGAAATCATGCATCATCCGATCCATGCGAAATCGATTGGAAAGTGTAATTAGGAGTAGGGGTGGTGATATCAAATACTGAAAAATAAAGAAATTCATTTTGTAATTGATGATTTCTCTGTTCATAATGTACAAAATAATGTTGTAGCGTGGATGCGTAATAAACATCTCGCACACACATTAAGTTCAAAACCAGAATCGCTCAATTCGGAGAGGAAGGGCGGGGCAAGGTCAAGTGTATAGAAATTAAATAATATCTCAAAAATCCAAACACAATCAGACAATTCGAAATTATAATTTATTATTGGACGCCACCCCTTGTTTATCCTCGTAGGGGACGAGAGAGAATAAAAAAATAAGATATATAAAAAATTTACAGCGAAATTACACTTTATTATTTCTCAGTAATAAAAAGAAACATTAAAAGTTATGTTATTTCCAAAGGATACTAAAATACCATTTCATAATTACATTACTATAAACAAAACAACTTTATATCTTTTTAAATCAAGAATTGGTTGATAAAAAACAAATGAATTTATATATTATTCCCAAATTTCGAAATTCGTTTACATTTAAAATATTATAGTAGTTATTTATTAACTAGGCATAATAGAAAAGTTAAATCTTTAAACAAAATTTAAAACACTGCTATATTTTCTTTCTCTGAGTCCATAATTATTCTCGCTTTCTCGATAGGGTATAATAAAAAAAGAAAAGGTACAACCTTAATCGTCCATTAGCTGGCAACCATACACAAAGGATATGTTCTGCTTCCTCTCAACCTCCAAGCATTTCGTTAAATTAGTTATTAGGGGTCCATTTTTTAGATCATAAGGGATTATTGGGCTGCGTTTACGACAGCATAAGACTTCTCAGTTAACTTCGAGTCAAATAAACATAATTAATGATCTTTTATTGTCCCCGGTAAAAGAAGGTCTAAAAATAATTATTTATCTGAAAATATAGACAAAAAAAGGCCTTTTTTCTTTGGCTTACCTCTATATAGAGACCACTTCACAAAAACACGTCCTAACAGTTGGATGTTTGTAAGAGAAAAGAGACAGACGCTATCATTTCCCGGTTTGAATTGGGGCGTGATTGACAAGTTAATAATCGTTCTCATCTATCGGATAGGTTTAGAATTACAGTAGAAATCTTGAGTCGGCTACAAGTACCCGGCAGATAGATGGGGTTAACAGTTTTATTAAAAAAAAATAATCGAATTTAAAATGAATTTCCTAAAACTTTTGAAACGGTTACAATGTACAAGCAGTTTTTGTAAGTTGAATAATAAAGTTATTGTTTGCACATTACATATTTTTATTTTCATACTTCTTACATTGAAACAAGAGAGGAAAACTCAAATCTCGCTTTTGAGTAGATTGTTTTGCACTCAAATGTATATTGCTTTTACCACTTGCTAGAAAAATGGGAGACGAAAAATTCTTTTATCTATCACATACAATAATATAATTTTTAATGAACTAATTAACTTATATGCCTACCACTATATTTCTAATTACACCAACCTTCTTTGAAGAATGTCACTCCGGAATAAATTTTCGAAACCGTTTTTTGCTGTTGATAAATCAATTGCTGCACAAATTTCTTTTGTTTTTGTACCATACTCGTGAACTCAGTATAGACTATCTTTGGATTCAGTTCGCAATGCATAAGCGTGGCTCCTTCATAGTCTTTAATGTACCCTTGATAAGCTACCCTGTTCATTTTGATATCTTTGGAGAAACCTTGTCTTTCGAAGTAACCTAAAATAAATTATGTTTACTCGATTATTAGAATCCTTAAAAAATATATTCTTAATAAAAAATCCAGGAGAATGTAAGGAATGTAGAAAACATGTGTTGGAACATGAAAGGAAGTGGTAATATAATTTGGAGGAATGTAGCCAGTATTATTAGAGATAACGGCTATTGAAATACTTAGAAAACCCTCGGGAAAGAAGTTTGAGTCAAACTCGGGTCAAACAAAGTACAAGAAAAAATATAGAAGAAGATATACAAACAGTGGCAAGAAAATAGGTCAGACACAGAGCTATAAGGTCGCCAAAAATAAGTGAGAGCGCCCACCAAAGTGGCGTGGCACGTGGCAAGTGGCAAGTAGCACGCGTCTAGCATGTTTCTTAAAATGTAACCAATGAAAACGAATGATTCAGCGCACACCAAAATGACAGTGACGTCATTCATTCTAATCATTCGTTTTCATTGGTTACATTTTAAGAAACATGCTAGACGCGTGCTACTTGCTACGTGCTACTTGCCACGCCACTTTGGTGGGCGCTCTCACTAACAGCATCAAAAACTAACACACACACACATACATATATATATATATATATATATATACATATATATATATATAATATACGATCAATATGATAACAGGAAGGGTGAAGCCAAGATGTATAAAATAGCCAGATATAGAGCAAAGAAAGCAAAACATTTTAATCAGATTAAATGTATCAGCATGTCAAAAAGTGATGGAAAAACTATTTTGCCAGTTTATTAAATAAATAATTTGACAGAAAACCAATTGAGCGAACGGAGATATTAGCTGCAATGGTTACCAAAATAACAAACGAGGAAGTTGGCCAAGCACTTCAAAAGAAAGATAAAGCAGTTTGACCAGATGATCCCTGAAAAAGTGAACAACTTTTATTAGAGATAGGAACAAATTGGCTTACAGATTTGTTTAATATAATTATGGAAGTGGGACAAATGCCAGATGAATGGAGAAAAAGTATATCAGTATCTGTTTACAAAAACAAAGATCACATAAGCACATTAAAACCCTCTACCGCATACGAAACCTTTTATGGTTTCAAAATTTCAAAGTGTTTTAGCAGAGAACTTTCGTAGTTCTCTGGTTTTAGTATGCATAATATTCACCACCCATCGAAAAGTCTGACTACATCATAGCTAGCACTCATGATACTACGCATCTGTATGTTTGGTTGCCTACCAGTCAAGAGAAAAATCGTTATAACCTCATTCGTTTGTACAAATGAACGGTACCTTATGTATGACTCCAATTTGAAGCAAAATTTTTTATCGAAATAGTGAATTCATTTGTTAGAGAAAATTTTTTGGAGTAAGAGTAAGTATTATTTTTTATTGTATAAATATTTTTCTACATCGAATTTCACATTATTATCCAGATTTATGATTATTTATCTATTTATTATCAAACCATGTATGGTTTCGAATACATTCAATCTTATTTTAGTTATACCACTTTTAAAAAAATATCATTTGGTTTTTGTTTTTAGAATGAATCCTAGGAAGTTTTATGGCTCAACTAAATACGTTAACTGTATTCCTGGTGATTGAGAACTAAGTGAAGACGATTTAGGTTCAGATTCAGATAATGAGTATATGAGTGAGAAGTGTAAACGTGGTTGTGACGATGGAAAAACGTCTAAGTGTGCTTAAACGGATCGACAAAGGTGAATTGGTAAAGAAAATTTGTTCAAAGTTGAATGTGGGGAAAAGTACAGTGAATGACTGGCGAAGGGATCGGCGTTCAATTGGACTTCTGCGCCCTAATGAAATCGGATAAAAATCTAAAAACTAGGTTGTGGTTGCTTCAAGAACGACGAAGGGGCACACATATTACCGGCCCGATTCTAAGGGAAAAAACTTTATGTATACACAGCAAAATTATAGACAGAGGCGAATTTATTGCAAGTGAAGGTTGGCTGACTCGCTGGAAAGCACGTCACGTAGTTAATCTGCAATTGATTTTACCTCCAAGTTTGTAGAAATTATAAAAATGGAAAAATTAAAACCAAGTATATCACATGTTTAAAATGCTTCGAGAAAAACATTTTTGGGAAGTCATGAAAAATCGGCTTCTGGATTAAAAAAGAATAAAGAGCGCATTACAGTTACTGTTTGTTCAAATGCAGCAGGAGGTGATTTAAAAATTTAAATCCATGGTCCCTCCCCGTATTCTACAGGTCACAAAAATCAGCATGGATGAGCGCTGATCTATTCAAAGAATGGTTTGAGCGTGAATTTGTTCCGATGCATTAAGAGCGTAAATCTTACCATAAAGCAGTCCTACTTCTGGATAATGCTCCAACTCATCCTGGAAACCTAACATGTGAGACAGATGACATAAAAATTATCTTTCTTCCTCCTAATGTGACAAGCTTGATGCAACCGATGGATCAAGGGGTGATTGAAAGCTTGAAAAGACGATACAGACGTAAATTACTGTCCGAAATTTTACAATGCGCAGAAAGTGAAGATCTCAATCTTATTGATATCATCAAAAAAATTAACTTAAAGACGTAATTTACATGTTAGCTTCCGCCTTCCAAGAAATTCCTGCTTCTACTTTCGTTAAGTCTTGGCGAAAACTTTGGGCCAACATTGAGGAACTTGTTGAGTGTCAACAATCACACGAAGAAGATAATTCTACCACCATTCTTCAAGATCTCCAAACGTTATCCGAAAATGTCCAATTGCAGGCCGAAGATATTGAAGAATGGATGAACTGTGACGAGGAACTTGAAAACGAATTTTTGACAGACGACGAAATAATTACACTAGCAACACATGAAGAGCCCTATGAAAATGAGGAGACTGATGATGATGTTGACGGAGAGGAAAAGGTCGGCCACACCGAAGCGAGGGCTGCAATGGAGGTGGCATTGAAGTATATTGAACAACAACCTGGGTCATCTTCAATAGACGTCTTGGTTTTTAAAAAATGGAGAGATATAGCTTTTAAAAATTCACTTAATGTCAAGAAACAGAAGAAAGTTACCGATTTTTTTAAAACAAGTTTGTAAAATATTTAAATATGTAGTATATGTACATAGAAATAAATAGTATTTTTCAACTGTATACTCCGTGATCTTTATTAATATACACCTTCCTGTACATGTGTTTGATATATGTATGTATGTATGTACTTGATTTTTCTCATGAAAATGCCTGCACATCGGATTAACCGGCCATTTGGTCAACTAGCCAGGCTCTGGTCCCGAGGTGGCCATTTAAGAGGGAGTCTACTGTATATGCCTTAATAAAAATCACAATACATAAAAATATTTTTTATTTCATGTTTGCAATAATTCATGAAATAGAGAGTTAACGCAAAGCACTTGATATTCTGATAAGTGGCAGGTGGTTATTCCTAGCATACCCCGTAGGCGTCACCGTAGGGATTATGGTTTGTTACAACATATTATTTTATAAATAGATATAACTTACCAATAGCATTTTGATCGGCAAACGTCAAAAGATGAAGAATGCCTTTGGATATGTGATAATCCTTTAAATGGTTCATCAGATGTGTTCCATATCCCTTTATTTGTTCCCTCGACGTTACAGCGCAAAACACAATTTCAGTAAAACCTTGCGTTTGGAACGGCCGAAAACAAATTCCTCCGATAGGTCGATCTTCTTTGACCAAAGCTATCGTACGATGTTTGCTGGAATTAAGAATGACCGATCTTCAGTAATAACTCAACTGATTTTAAAAAAAAATTAATTAAGTTATCAACAATGGCGTAGCGGAAGAAAGTAAGCCATGCAATAAATAATATACTCCACGAGAACAAATATACTCGTTTCGGTGAGTCATTACATATGTGCCGTTATTCAATTCATACGAATAAATCAGAAAGTTTAAGTCACATGTAAACTGCGAATCCAACCTTACTGGAAGCTTACTTTCCGTGTCCTCTTTAGTTCCAACAAAATTGTGAGCTTCCAGTGCTTTACAATATTCAGCTCTTTTGTTGGCTTACTTTAGGTCTTCTTAGGAATAGGTTTGTTGTAGCTGTTTGCATACCAGAAGATGACCATTGGTTTGTACAGCGGCACAGTCAAACACATCATCTTTTTCAGATTGTAATTACAGCGGGTCAGTCCACTTTGCCGCCGATTTAGAGGTTTCCTCATGGAGAAATGCAAGTTTGATCCGGCAGGTAGTTTCTTCTTATGATCAAGTAGCGGTTGTAGATCGTATCAGCTCCAAAGTTCTCTTTGCCGTTCGCTTGGTGAGATCTCCAGCTGTTTTGTGCGACGAAGGAAGCTGTGGCGTGACTTCAGTCGGGCGGGTTGTTTGGCGTGATCATGCAAGGGGTGACGGTGGTCTTTGACTTGTTTGTCTTTCTAGGCCTCTGCGACTACGTCTTTTCTGATCTTAGGTAGAGCAATTCCTGCGATGGAGACAGGAGTAGTCTAATGCGCCCTGTAACGATACGACTCATCCCATTTACAGCAGTGTCCAACTGGATACGGGAATGAGCACTCACTAGTTTGTAGCCAGTTTCTTCAGGTGACCTTCATCCTTCATATTCGTATTCTAATCTGTCTGATGTGTCTAATATTGTCCTGTAGCTTCCAGCACACCAGCAGCTTACTACTTCACTGGACAGTAAACTTGGTTAGCAGTTTATTTAAATCTTCCTATTTGATTTAAAGATAGCCAATGATTACTACAAACAACAACATACAAAACAACAAACCAATAAAACACATTACTTACGGATCGAATAAAAGCTGCGTTATATATTCAATAGGCATTCGAGGTAGTTGGTAAGAAAACACGTTTTGTAATCCAATTAACCACAGCATTGTCTGTTTAGAGACCGGTGTAGTTAAGCAGTTTGCAACAACGTGAAGCTGAATTATATTTCTTTGTTCCTCGAATTTTGGAACTTCGTCAGTGGCCGGTGCGTTTTCAGAGAAGACCATCTAAAACAATTGTAATAGGTTAACACTTCATAGAAGTTTCCCAAGTTTTTATTTAATTAACACTTAAAGAATGTCGTCTTAAAATTTCGAACGAGAATACGCAGAATCTAAATGTTTGTTTATATAGCCCACTTACGATCGAACGATGAAGAAAATTACGTGTGAATTAAATTTTTAGCGCGAAAGCGCTAAATTTAATGCTTGAGCACACTTTTGTCAAAGTAAGTGTTTCTTGAGAAATTTTTGGTGTAAACTAAGATGGTTTTCTAAATTTCTGGTTTGTCCGTTGTTATCAAGACGATGAAACACTTCGAGCGGACAACACAGAGTCCCTCTTCGATGATTTCTTATGGTAGCTTGAGTCCAAGCTTTAGTGTGGAACCATTGAAAAGCAGTTTATCCATTTATTCATCATTAAATAGACCCGCATACACTACAACCAAAGTGTATGGTGAAAAAACCATAAGTAAGTCATTTTTTGTCTCTACTGAAGAAGATTAGCATAAGATGAAATTTTCTTAATGAGCCCTTCAAAGTATCGCTCGCCGCGTCGGCCGCCGCGCGACCTATGGTGAGTATCATGCGCCGTCAGCGGTTTTATGACTTCCGGCGGCACATCAGTAATAGATATCTCGTGCTTCAACACAGACGTGTGACTGTTTTGCAGCGGTTTTATTTGGTTACTTTTGTGAGTGTTTGCCAAATTTTGTATATATTATGGAAGCTGTAAACATCGATAAATTAATTACCGAAATTCACACACGGCCAGCAATTTGGGATATGCGCTCAGATAATTATTCGAATAAAATAAAGAAAAAAACAAACTTGGGAAGAGGTTACCCACAGTTTTATTTCGAAAGATGCTTTTCTGGGCCATCTTTAATTTCGTTAACTAACGTGTAAAACGTTCTTTATTTTTTCATTCATTTACTATAGAATGTATCCAATACCTGCGTTTCTTCTTCTTCTTTGATTTAATATGAAGTAAACTTGCACTTATTAGGAAAAACAAATCGTCGTCACTTTCACTAGATGATTCTAGAGACATCATTATACCATTCTACGTCCAAAACTCGACTAAATTTGACAACACCGAATACAATGACAAAACTACTGCCGCTGTTAAACCGCCTTATGTGTTTTAAGCCGCACGGCAGCCGACGAAACGCGCAAACCGCCCTGTCTGTCTTTAACCTAAGGGTATATTTTTTGTATGTCTAGAAATTTAATAATCAATGTATGAAATCAACGTATGTATGATCAAGGTAAATTTTTGATTTTTTTTATTATTATCTTCAATCTTTTATTTTAAGTAACATTTATGATAAAGAACATTTTTAAACTGAATATTTGCCAGGTAATTAAGAAAAATAATGATTAGATTAATATAAATACATGTTTTAAAAATACTGTACTATGCAATTTAACTTCTGTCCATATTGTTACCATACTGCGATTTTGATTTATCTAGCAATAATTGTAGCTAGTATGTAACCACCTTGTATTCTTTTATTTCTCTAAAAATCTTAACTTTTCTTGGACAGTAATAATATTTTAATAATTTTTACTTTAATGTTTTAGACCTTTTTCCTCAAGACCTTGTCCCACTGTGCCAGTTTTTCTTCTAAATCACTTTCAGTATTTGCTACTAACAGTAATTATCAGCATACATCATACAAGCATTGAGACCCTGGTTGCAATCAGCATACATCATTCAGATGTAAATTATCAGACTCTTCCACACCTGTCCCAACATTAGCTGTGAATCCTCCATACATGTCTCAAACGATCTTTACATATTCCCCAGGAACTTCTTTCTTGTTGAGCGTCCATCATAATACACACTCTTAACTTCAATACTTTCTGGAAATTTTTTTGAATAAAAAAATGAATTAAAATCAAGGAATTGAATGGTAAGATAAAATAACCAAATTTAGGTTATATCAGCAATTTTACTTACAATAAATATAGAAAAAAATAAAACTTACATCTGGACCAGTCATGTAATTCGGATCATCGATTGTGGCAATAATTTGAGCAACGAGCTCTTTTGGCATATCTTCAAATTGTTCATCCTGGGCGATTTTTTTTCGTTTCGCTTCTCTACTTGGCATTTCTATTGATCGAATTGACTTTCCTGGAGTAAGAACGGAGGTTGTAAAACCCTCCCGTTCGGTTTGTCCTAAAACTACTTTTTCGAATTCGGGTTTTTTAGAACTACTGGCGCTGGCTAAAACGAATAACAACACATCCAGTTAATTTATATTATTTCACCAGAGATATTTTATTAAATAATATGTTTGTATGGGATTAAGCCATAATTGATTGTAATAAAAATTACAATAATTGATTGTAATGAAAATTACAATTTATAATTGAGAACCCTGGAAGTAAAGGAGTATAAGTGACATTTTTGTAAACATTGAGAAAACTGCATCGCTGAACTGAAAATCTTTCATTCTATTTGGAGGTAAAGAGATCTTAGCGATAAGTCTTAACAAGTTACTTAACCTCCAAGCCAACTATGAGTAGGGCTTGGAAGAGAAGAGATACAAATGCACTTGGACGTTCCACTGTGTCAGACTGTTATAGTTTATTTTTATGAACGAGAGAGTAATTAGCATAATTTTAACTGGTACCTTCGACCACTCCATGGGCGTGCTCAAGATTAATTGAAAAATTACTTTGAATAATTGTAAAAAATAAATGAATTATTTCAGTGTTATAAAGTGTTATGTGTATGTAAACAAAAGTGACCTCTTTTATCACACACTATATTAGAACTGACTGGCCTACATTAAAAAGGGTTTTAAAAAATTCACATTTTTTTTAATTTTTAAAAATTACAAAAGAGAAAAAGAGTTTTTAAAACCGTCTAAGGTATGTTAAATAGATGAATAAAAATATTAATATAAAACTTACAGCTACTTGTTACAAATCCAAATCAGATTCAGAAGATGAACTTTCAGAACCAAGATTTATAATAACTGGCTCGATCATTTTATCAGTAATATTGTCCAGCTTCCACATTTTTTCCTCTTCTTTAATAGTGTGATTTACTGCCTTTTCCCAGTTTTCAGGTTTTACATTATTTACGGCCTCCAAAAACAACTGTTTAACATCATGAATTTTAAAAGTGGTATTTTTTCTTGAAACTTCACTCTTTATCTGTGCCCATACCAGTTCAATCGGGTTTAATTCACAATGATATGGTGGGGATCTAAGTACTGTCATTCCACGATTTTTGGCAATTTCATCAATTTCGTATTTTTTAAATTTTTCTTTATGAAGGGCACACAACGAATAAAGTTCCTTTCTTATAGATCCGGGATGGTACGTAATATTTTTTGAACTCAGCCAATTCTGCAAGTCTTTTTTTAACCACTTGGTTGTGGGCAGTCCTTCTATAAGTCTGGAGTGATAACTTGCATTATCCATTACTATTACACAGTTCTTAGGAAGAAGATCTATCATTTGTTCGAACCATTCTTGAAAGACATCAGCGTTCATGTCTTCATGGTAGTCACCGGTACGAGTTGATTCAAAAGTTAATAAACCACCTTCAACAAAACCGTCTGAACTGCCAATGTGTACTATTATCAGCCTGCGTCCCTTTCCTGATGGTGGGTTTAAACCAGTAGATAAGTTATTTACAAAAGCGTGCCTTTGACTTGTAACAGTTTCATCCTGCCAAAATTTATTTGGTGTATGACCCTCGTTGATCCATGTTTCATCAAGATAAAATATTTTTCTTTTTTGGTTTCTCATTTCCTTTATGGTTCTTAGAAAATGTCTTCTCCATATGACAATATCGCTTCTTTCTAATAAAATAGACTTTCTGGGATTCTTTTTCCAGCGGAAGCCTATTTCTTTTAAAAGTTTCCATAACGTACTTCGACTCATTTCTGGGTAATCCTTATCATCTCGAACTGAGACAAGAACTTTATCCAATGTTGGAAATTCTTGTCTAAAGAAGAATTCATGCACTTTCCGTCGAAGTCCTTCTTTAAAATGATATTCTATTTGAAATTTTGGTTTCCCTGGAGCATTACGTGGCATTTGAAAACTACCACATTTCTCTTCTTTAATAACTCTGTAAATCGTAGATTTCCCAACACCAAGTGTACTGCTAACTAACTCAACGGTCTCATCAACACTTTCACATAAACGTTTGTCTGTAAATGATTTAAAACAATTAAATATTAATGTTTTTTCATTAACTGTTAAAGGACCAATTTTTCGGCGTTTACACGGCACTTCCAAATTTTCCATAACACTAGTATACACAATAAACTGCACCTTGCAACTGAAGTACCTACTTTTAGTGAACTGTTAAGAATTTTGAATACGCCACTTGGACCTTCCTACAAAATGGAAAAACCCACTATCACATTTTCTGTGGAATAAGTTTAGAAGGTAATTATCTAGTCAATTACTGTCGTAGATTCCTGGAATTAAAGAATTAAATGTTTGATTGTTGAAACCCTTACTTCGTGGAATGCACTCATTTCAGATAAAATAAAACGTTTTATTTTATCTAAAGAATTAAACTTTATTTTGCAAATAGGTAGGTACTTATTAAACTTTTATTGGTTATATATAACCAATAAAATAAACATCTTACATTTCTTGCAAAACATTAGTACCTGTTAACCTCCATCACTCCGACACTGGCAACCTTATTTAGGGATTAGTAACCCTCACAACTATTGTATTCTATTCTGCTCCAACCTTTATACCTGGTGGTCATACTCAATTTAAAATTGTTTTCCTATATACTTCTGTAAACTTGTTGACAAATATCTGTTTTTCATTGAGTCACCCGTATCAACAGTTTAGGGATTTGCATACATAATTTATTGTTTTATTACTCTCTCATACATAAAAATACACTATAGTTGAGTTTGTTATCATTTTGGGTGGGTAGTGGTATAGCTCCTAAGTAATACTTTAATGTAAACTGCTGCGTTTTACGTCATTCTAACCAACAGTGTTTTTAAGAAGAGTTCGTTTTGTTTCTCGGCGGAATACGGAGCCAGTGATAGATGATTTATCTGTCAATGCGTTTCCACCACCAAAGCAGACTGAAAAAAAAAGGATTCGGAGGCCAGATCAGTGGAAAAAACGGCTAATATAGCAAGAGGTGAAGCTTACATGGATAAAAAAACAATTCTCATGAAGCTAAAAAGTTGTTTCAAGTACGAGAACTTGAAAATCGCCATTGTTGGAATAAAGGTACCAATATTGTTGCACAAGAACAAAGACTTTCAATTTTTAAAGAGTATTGAGCATTGGGCATTGGAATCTCCCAAACTCTTGATGTCTCTAACAAACGTTTACAAAATGAAGTTGAAAGCAAAAAAAGTCTCCTCAGGCATGTCAGGGGACGTTTCTGAAAGGGCAATTAAAATCATAAAAGACTTCTCTAGGTACACAAGCCACTACACTAGAAATACGACTCCGAAAAGGAGGTATGTTCCTCAGGAGTGTAATTTAAAAATAATGTACAAACTTGATTGTGATTTCTAAAAGGAGGAAAAACAGGAAGAACCTGTAAGTAAAAGCGTTTACAGGAATATTTTTAATACTTAGTTCAATCCTAGTTCCAAGGCCGAGTACAGACATCTGTGATAAATTTGAAAAATTTCAGATAAAAATAAATACTGGTTCAGCAGAAGAAAACGCTTTAGCTCAACCAGAAAAAATGTTACTTGCGTATGGCAGAAGCCGTAAGAAGAGCAAAAGATGAGTGTCATGACCTAAAGGATGTTAGCAAAGTTGCGATCATCTTTGACTTGCAAAAAACTATGCCAACTCCTAATGTGTCAACTTCTAAAGCATATTATTTAAGGCAACTATGGACGTATAACTTAAGGGTCCATAACCTACAGACTGGAATGACCCATTTCTTTATGTGACACGAAGGCCAGGCGTCACATGGATGTCAGGAAATATCATCTTGTCTCCTAAAATATATCAGAAGTCTTCCCCATCTGTGAAACACGTAACTGCATTTAGCAACAACTGTGGAGGTCAAAATAAGAGTCATCTGACAGTCAAATTTTGGCTTTACATTGTCAGAAACACTAATATCCAAACAGTAAGATCATCTCTTTTTTATAAGTGGTCATTGTCATAATGAGTGTGACCAAGACTGTGGTTTGATAGAGTTAAAAAAAAAGAACCAAAAAGAACCTTATGTACCTGAACATTGGATGGAGCTGATAACTTCTACAAGTAGAAAGTTCTTTACAGTACAGATGGAAAATGACGATTTTTTAGACTTTCAAAACTTACGCCATACTTCAAGAAGAGCGTAAGTGAAATACAGAGCATGCAATGGTTACATTTTCAACAGGACAAACCTTTAACCCTGTTTTACAATAAAACAGCTGGAGGTATCATAGAAAGAGCTATCTATGAAACCATTCGAGCTGGCAAAAACTCTGCCCTTCTGCCAGATCTCTTGCCAGTACCGATTGACAAAAGGCCTCTCATTAAGCAAGCTAAATATTCCAATCTTAAATAGTTACTCAACTACTTACCTCCAATTTACCATAAGTTTTTGATGGAACATCGACACTGACGTCGATGAATCATAAGATAATTATGCATTAGTGTTACGGTGAAGAATAAATTTGTACAAAAACTTTTTGTATAAATACATACAGTACATGATCTTTGTACATTTTTACCTTTATGTTGCATTTCTTAGAAGTAAAAGGTACAAGTGCTACTTACCAACATAAAAATAGCTCTAAAATGAGTAAAGTCAATAAAATTATGATTTTTTGTTACCAATAATAATAAGGGAAGTCAAGGGAAAGGTTCAGCCCGGAGGATTCGATATGCAAAATGGCCAAAACATCGAGGCTATGGGCGAAAATGACATGTATAAATATCTAGGAGTAAAGCAAGCGCGGAAAATTGACCATAACAAATTAAAATCGAATTAACATCAGAGTTTATACGAAGGGTAAAACAACTACTCCGTTCACATTTTAGTAAAAATTTGTTTAAGGCATCAAACACCTACGCATTTTCCGCGCTTAGCTACTCATTTGGGTTTATTAAGTGGACTAAAACGGATACATAAACTCTTCAGCGTGAAGATTTGTTTTGAAATAGTGACGATAAATGTACCTAACAAGTATATAAATTTTAACATTGTGACATACCACCTTAAAGTATAAAAAATAACTAATTTTTATTGATTTATGTTGATTGATTTTATCGACAATACGATTATTAATTATAATATAATTTACCTCTTAGTCTGGAATCTAAAAGAGATTGGAAATGCAAAGACGTGGCCTTAAATTCGGGATCCCAGATAGGCGAATTCGAAGCATAAATCTCTTCATCCAAGTGATTTAAAAACGGCGGAAAATTAGTAAGCAAGAGCTGTCTTCTATCAGGAGGCATAGTGTCTCTTTCTCTATAGAATTGATCCATGATTTGTTTCCTGATATATTTGAACACAGCTCGCAGCAGCGTCCTTCCGAAGACCATTGTGGTATCGAAGTGAGGCAAGGAGTCACAAAAGGTAGGGACGTAACAAAATACCAGCCACCTAATAAAGATAAAAAAATATATATTAATTGTGATTAAAAAAATTTAATGATTAAACACTTCATTCAATTTAATAATACATGTCAATTTTTTCTTTGTGAAAAGCTATTTTGATAGTTTTAACTGATTTATATGTTTTGTGGCACGATCAATCCAGAAATGAACTCCGTTTTTGCGAAGAACTTCACGTTTTTTTCACAAATTGGGCATTTGTTTCTGTTTTGAACTCGAAAGAGATATAAGTAATAAAAACACGTGAGTCATGCTTATTATTTAAAAAAAATTATTTTTGAATTCAAATTGGTTTGTGCTTTTCCAGAAGTAGTCTGATATCTTTATTTTGCTCCATTTTCCCTAATATCTTCTTTCCATCTCCTTGATATCTTTATCGAAACACTTTGACAGAAAATAATCCAGGTAGGAGAGTGGGAGAGGGGAAAATTTACTTTTAAGCTCATTAGACAACCCAAGTCTTCAAAAGACTTTCTTTTGACTATATTTTTATAATCAGGATATTTATTGTTGCCCCAAAAATGTTCCACAATATCCTTAAATGTGAACCATCTTTCTCTCTGGGAAACTATCATAGTGTTAGCAAACATTTGATCCGCTCGAAGTCTTCTGATTTCTGGCCAATAAATATATCTTCCTTCGAGAGGCCTGGAAACTTTTTAACCAAGTAGATGAAACATTTTCCGGCTTTTGGAAGAGATTTGACAAACTACTTTCGAAAACCTAGCTTTATTTGAAGGAGAGGAATCAGATGTTTTGCTGGTGGTCCAATATTTATTGCAGAACATTGTTTTTTCCAACCTTAAGCATCCTTGGTTTCGAACTCTCCTTGGCCAGTGATTTTTTTCCGTCTCAGCTGTTCCATAGACATAAACCTTGGTGTAACCTGTAAAATAAATGAGTTGTCCAAGCAGCATACATAAGATCTTCAAATCACCGCACATTTTCCAATCGTGATCTTCATATTTGAGTATGTATTTAAAGAATCATTCTAAGTTCTGTAAAATTTTTTTGTTCATTTTGTATATCAAAAAGATTTCCCAAGGTTTTATTTAATAAACACTTGAAGAATTGTGACTTAAAATTTTCGAACGAAGTTTGAGTATAATCCAATTATTTATTAAGAGTGCAATTTCTTTGAATTCTCTCTTCATCTTACATAATTTTATAATATCGGAGTTTTTAATGAGAATATCGCATTAGAATCAAATATATTGCATGCCGATCACGCTTAATGTCCAAGATTAGGAGAATTAGCAGGCTGTGTGGGACAATAGTTTGGTCGTATCGGGATGATCCCGGTAGGAGCGATGCCTCACTTAAAAGAATACCCCTTGGTCGATCTTCAAAGTGTTTCTTAGCCAGTTTCTGTTCTTATTTTTGAGGGGATTATTATGGGTTTAAAAATTTCTGGTTTATCTCTTGTTATCAAGATGAACACTGTTACAACTAATTATGCAAGGAAAGATTGAAGGTAGGCGCAGCATAGGTAGGAGAAGAATGTCATGGTTGAGAAACCTCAGGGAGCGGTTTGCTTGCACTTCCATACAATTGTTTTGAGCGGCAGCCTCCAGGGTCAAAATTGCCATGATGATAGCCAACCTTCGTAGCGGAGATGGCACGTGAAGAAGAAGAATCAAGATGAACAAACATGTTCAGCTGTCTGCTTACAAGCAGGCTTCAATCAAATAAAAGCTTTTATACTGTAAAATAACGAGCTAGAGAGATATGGAGGAAAGTTGTTAGGAGATTGTATACCTTACGTCAGCTACCGAGGCGCACGTGACTCTCTGCGCAGCGAATTAGCGCACCGTATGCAAAACGGAGATGTTTTGATAGTACCTACACATCTGTGACTCAATTGCTGTTTGTATAGCCAAAGAATACGATATTCGGTGTGGTTCAGAATGCCAAGTGCATGATTTCATAACTTAGACAAGAGAAAATGCATTTGTATTCGGATTTGCATTCATATCTTGTAAAATCCTGACGTCCTATAAAGTCAATATTTAAAAAAGACCGATTTTAACAAAGTTCAAATTTAAATTTATGTATTTACATATTGTTATCATTCCAACTTAAAATTTAATTCCAAAGAAATTACCTGGTATATTCAATTTTATATTTCATAGCCTCCTCTTGGCTCACGATATGCTTTTGGCTGCTCGGACAAGGAAAATCCCAAGTGTTCAAACAATGGAATAAAATCTTCACCAATTCATACATCGTCTTCAGTTCTTGCTGACTTATATGTGAAAATTTATAAATCAACAAATTGGTGACAGCTTTGTGTATGCTCGGTTTTTGGAAAGGCGGTTGACCTAAAGGACCTTCCACAAGGGGTTTGTCGAGAGTTACAATACATTTCCTCAATAACTAAAATAGAAGTTACTTAATAATAGAAGACTCAACATCTAGATATTATATTTCAAACTTACCCTGAATAGATACAGATATACTTTCTGTGTTTCTTGATTTTTCTCCCTACTCATAGCTGTGTACATGTTTTCCACATCTTCAACCATATTTAGCAACCTATTTAGTTCTTGCTCTGGTTTACCAATCAAATGGGATATATGCATTTCTAGAAAGAAGGAGGCCTCTCAATATGTATCAAATTCCAAAAAGATCATTTTAGAATACATTCAAATACTTACAACAAAACAAATTTTAATCAACATATGAAATTTGTTCGTGCAAAGTGTAAGTGTAAAGGAGAAGATCATGGAATCTAATGCCTTTATAGTGAAGAATGTTGTTTCTTTTGTTTGTCAGATGCATGTTAGTGAATGTATGTGGAACAATTAGTGAAAGAGCACAATCAAATACTGATTATTGAGGAGTGACAGGAACTGAGAACTGAGAAGAATTTGAATCACACTAAAATGGATAGACTCTTGTCTGATTCAGATGAATAGATAGAATGAACTTCTTTGTTAATAAAAGAAATAATTTCATAATGGAGGATGTGAAAATTTTGCAACAAAATACCAACTGAAAAACGCTCAAACAAATCACAACAGCATCGAAGAGAAAAATCAAGCAGTGCCACACTTTATCATCATTCTGAGAAGCACACAAAGTTTACACAGATTTTTAATAAAAGTTGCTGGTCCTCGTAAAAAGTTAAATAAAATTGAAAAGTAAAAAATCACACAATGAAACAATTCATGCTCAGATTAAAAAATGTTTGGTTGTTTCATATCTTAATACCAAGGTAAATTGATTTGATTTTATTATAAATATTTAAATAATACATTACAATATAATATATTTAAAAAGCTATAATAAAATTGTACAAACATCAGAAACAGAATAATATATAATATAGTTTTATGAACCATATCAAGAAAAACATTTAATATATGTGTGGGGGTTTAACAAAATAATGTACTATTACGAATTAATAGTACTAAGATTAATACCAGCTATTCCTTCGATAGCTCTGGCAAGATAAATGAACTTTCACTCATAGGTGCAAATAACAAATAATATAAAATTTAAATGGTTGCAAAAACAATCAAAAAACAAACAAAGGTATTAAACTAGGTGAACTTACCGAACCGCTAATTAGGTACCATAATTCACTACTATAAAACCAACCGATTTCGATGCATCGACGCACTCGCGAGGGTTGTGTCTTGCGTCTATTCTGCTCAACGACTTAAGCGCTTGTGTCCTACGGGATGCATAGCATACCCGAACGGTACGAATAGGGATCGAAGGTATACAGGGGGAGGACAAAATGTCTTGATTAATTTATACAACCATATTTGAATTTAAACATTCTCCCCCCTTTAAAGGCCATAAGGTCTTTAAAAAACAAAACGAATTCTAAATACTATCATTACTTAAACAATCAAAACGATAATTACTACAAACAATTCCTATACAAATATTAAACAAATATTCAAAACTTAAACTAAAAAATAAAAAAATTAAAATTAAAATGGTGGTTTTGTCGTGGTTCTATTCATAAAAGCCGAACAAAACAAAATCAGTAAAAAAAATGCTGACCATTTAATCTTCATCTATCGGCACGGGACAGATTCGGACAAGAGGCCGTTTTAAGGTTCCGGTAATCGTACGCACGGTAGCCACTCGAGCTACACCGTCTTTACCCTCATGTAATTCAACAAGACGCGCGAGAGGCCACTTACACGGAGCCAAATTATCCTCCTTTAAAACAACTAAGGTGCCGATTTTAGGTACAAAACTAGGATCTAACCATTTACACTTTTGTTGCAAGGTGTGCAAATATTCCTTTCGCCATCGAGCCCAAAAGTCTCTATGGATGCGCTGTAACAACTGCCATCTGGACAAACGATTGAAGGATACCTCCGAAAAATCAGGCACAGACAAAGATGTCAAGGGTTCAAGAGTCAGGAAATGTCCTGGGGTCAAAGCATTGAGATCTTCAACATCATTGGTTAAAGGGGTGAGAGGGCGTGAATTTAAGACGGATTCAATTAACGTCAAAACGGTATAAAATTCTTCGTAAGTCAAAATTTGTGCCCCGACTATACGACCAATATGTTCCTTTACAGAACGAATTCCGCGTTCATAAATACCGCCAAAATGTGGAGCAGCAGGAGGAGCAAATGAAAACTTAATATTTTCCTTATCGAGAGCGCTCTCCATAAAGCTACTAAGCTGTCGATAAGCACTGTGGAAATTAGTGCCATTATCACAAAATACTTGCGATACTCGACCTCTCCGAGCGACAAAACGTTGTAAAGCGGCCAAAAAGGCTTCCGCGGTCAAATCACTAGCTAATTCCAGATGTAAAGCCTTTGTAGCGCAACATACAAATAAACACAAATAGGCCTTTTGAGTTCTAACTCCCCTGTAACGAGACATGGTTATCGAAAACGGTCCACCATAATCTAACCCACAAATCGAAAAGGGTTTAATGGCACCGAGACGAAATTTAGGCAAATTACCCATAGGGGGTTGTAAGTTTTTGGGAGATTGTTTCCAACATCTAATACATTTGGACAATACTGAATTAATGGCTTGAGGATTAATATGGGATTCAGGAAATTGCGACAACAATTTGGGTTCATTCGAACACCATTTCCGTAACTCAAAGCCTCCTAACTTTAACAAAGTAACTAATTCGTCAATTAAAGTTTGTGCTTCTTCGAGAGTCGAAGCACCAAAAACAAAATCATCAATATACGAAGCATGACGAATAAGCGAGACGGCTTTAGGAAAACGAGAGCCTTCGTCTAATGCTAATTGTTGAAGGGTTCTTAAAGCAAGATACGGCGAAGATACTATTCCAAAAGTAACAGTTAATAAACGATATTCCTGAATTTCCTCAAGGCTAGAAAATCTCCATAACACGCGTTGATAATCCGTGTGTTCAGGAGCGATTAAAATATTGCGATACATCTGACGAATGTCCGCACACAACGCAAAACGATTAAGTCTAAAATTTAACAAAAGCGAGACTATGTTCTGTTGTAGCTTAGGACCGACCAGTAAATATTCGTTCAAAGATTTGCCAAGACTGGGACTTTTCTGAGACGCATTATACACAACTCGAATTTTATTTGAAACACTATCTGGTTTCACAACGCAATGATGTGGAATGTAATACTTTCCCCTTTTCTTTTCGGCATTAGGGACTAACTGCATATGACCTAAATCAAGATACTCCTGCATATGAAAAGAATATTCTTTTTTCAAACTTGGTTGACGAGATAAACGACGTTCTAATGATAGCAGTCTATTTAAAGCAATATCATAGCTATCTTGCAAACAAGGCGGCGATTCACGAAAAGGCAAAGACACGACATATTTACCTGAGACGTCCCGATTATGTGTTTCCCGATAAATGTTTTCGCACAGAGCGTCTTCTGGTTCTGAAACTGGCTTTTCCGGTATGTTTTCCAGTTCCCAAAATTTCGATAATGAAGAATCTAATGGGTCTTCAATATTTGAAAGACAAACAAGCGAAGTCGACGAAAGATTAGGTGTGCTAGTAGGTCCTAACAAAATATATCCAAAAACGGTATTTAGGGCATCAGGTTGTCCCGCTTTACCTTCAATTTTACCTTCTAACAACACCTTCGAAAATATGCTACAACCAATTAACAAATCAATAGATTGACTACAGTTAAATTCGGGATCGGCTAACTTTAAATTTTTGATATAATTCCACGTCGATATGTCAATTTTGGTGCTCGGCAAATCCGAGCAAACCCGATCTGTAATAACAGCTTCCAAGTGAAACACCGGTGACTCCTGATGACGAGGTTGGATAGAAAAACTTATTTGACCTTGATTCAGCTTCGTTTGCATCGAATTGAGTCCGTTAACTTCAAACGAACAAGGAGTTTTAGGCCAACCTAATCTACTGGCAGCTTTTCGACTAATGAACGAACTCATTGAACCCGAATCTAAAAGACATCTCAAGGGCTGTTTACACCCCTTACTATCAATTGCATGAACCCAAACGGTACCGAGCAAGATTTCCTTTTTTGTTTCGTTTTTCCTCCCTACAAAACTAGCAGCACAATGTGATATTTCAGGCGAATTCTGTTCGACTCCCGATGCCCCTGGATTATTAGTATTTTCTGTGGACGACTGACTATTGGAACGATTTCTATCGAAGTGCAGCAAACTATTATGAAGGTGACTATTACATTTACTACATTTAAAGGACTTTGGACACGACTTGACAGAATGATTAGCCTGATTAAGACATCTAAAACACGAGGAAGATTCTTTACAAAATTGGTATCTCTCTTTTGGAGATTTCTTCAAAAACAACGAGCACTGGTTTAGAAAATGACTTTGCTTACATAAAGCACAGCTTACTAATGACGAATTTGTAACAAAGGATGAACTACGATTATGCCTAGACTCATTCGAATGTTTATAATTACCCTTAGGCTCCGTATAAGTTGGGGCCCGCGACGACTTCTTAGATTCGCTTACGCTACTATTCAAATTATCGTAAGCAATGTACTGAGTTTCAATAAACTCAACTAATTTTTGAAATGACGGGATTTTATTCGATTTATTTTCTAATTCAAATAATTTTACTGAATCCGCGTCTAGTTTCGACAAAAGTAAATTAAACATAATAAAGTCCCAATGTTCTGTCGGAAGGCCTAATGTTTTCAATGCGGCTAAATTTTCTAAAAACGTGTCTACTAATTTAGCCAGATTTTTCGAATTAACTAACGATATTTTCGGCACGCCCATGATCGCATCCCAATGCGCGGTCGCACACCGACGAACATTTGTGTAGCGTTTAACAATTAAATCGTAAGCAATTTGATAATTATCGCTATTTATTGGCAAATTACGAATCAAACTAAGTGGAGTCCCTTCTAAACATCCTTTCAAATACTTAAACTTTTCTACTTCTGCTAGTCCTGCGTTATTATGTACAACCGAATTATATAAATCTAAAAACGAACTAAACTCCTTAAAATCACCGTTAAATTTAGGCAGTTCTATTTTAGGCAAGCGAATGTTAGATTTTGGAACTACTACCGACCTAAACGGTTCTGGAGTTTCACATTGTGGCTCAAATAACTCCGCACTAAATAATTTTATTTTATAAAATTGTTCCAAAAATAATTCCCGAACATTTTCTTCGACCCTCGTATCCGCGTCTGGTACAGCAAGAATATTACTAATTATATTTGTGTGGTGTTTCAAGAATTCATCGCGTATTAAATCTAATTCTTCCACCCTGATTTTAAATAAAGGTCGGATCGAAATATCCGAGAGCGATTTAAAACCCAAATCGAATATTATTTGCATATCGTTTAAAACAGTCTTTCTCATAAATTTGAGCTTTCTGTTTTTCTCTTCTAACTTGTCCATTGCCAATGTCTAATAAATTCCAATAATATACAAACGAAAAATGTACAAAAATGTTGTCTAAAACCCCGAAATGCTCGAAATTAATGATTTGAAATTCGATACTTTATTAAAACGACTATAATCTCCTTTTAAAAAATCCCATATGGTGCACTTTAAAAGGTCATAAATTATTCTCGGGTCTCGAAGTTAATAGCTTTCGACAAGAGACGCAACTTAATCAACCCTCAAAACGATAAAAAAATACGACATAAGACGAAACCAACCATTCAAATTTATAATATAACAAAATATTTTTTTTCAACAAATGAGTTCAAATTCGGCGAGATAGGCCAATGTGGGGGTTTAACAAAATAATGTACTATTACGAATTAATAGTACTAAGATTAATACCAGCTATTCCTTCGATAGCTCTGGCAAGATAAATGAACTTTCACTCATAGGTGCAAATAACAAATAATATAAAATTTAAATGGTTGCAAAAACAATCAAAAAACAAACAAAGGTATTAAACTAGGTGAACTTACCGAACCGCTAATTAGGTACCATAATTCACTACTATAAAACCAACCGATTTCGATGCATCGACGCACTCGCGAGGGTTGTGTCTTGCGTCTATTCTGCTCAACGACTTAAGCGCTTGTGTCCTACGGGATGCATAGCATACCCGAACGGTACGAATAGGGATCGAAGGTATACAGGGGGAGGACAAAATGTCTTGATTAATTTATACAACCATATTTGAATTTAAACAATATGTAAAAAAAATTATTACCTAGATGATGTTCACATCTACAAGGATCTGTAAAGGTGGGATTCTGCTGATTGATATCAACTCTTTTCCATCCAATGCAATCACATTTTTCACCCTAAAAACACACTTGGATTGTACAAATATTCAAATTCACAAAGAAAAAAAATATAATAAAATATGTGTTTAAGATGGAAGGCAACCATAAATATATATATATATATATATATATGTATTTCTGACTATTGGTCGTCTTCAGTATGGTGCAGCCAAGTTAGAAAATGAGCATATTAACTTAAGAAAGGATCACTACAGGAGCAATATGACCAATTTGTGGCAATAATGTTAGAAGACTCTGAGGTTTCCAGAGCAACAATCAACACATCCATGGAGGAAGCTTAGCTACCTGAGGAAAGGAATGCCAAATGTTTAGAATGTTTCAAAAAACAAGGAAAAGGTTAATGCGAGTTGATAGTAAAATAAAGGTAAAAGATATAGGCATAGTTTGCAACAAAAAAAAATATATAATAAAATATGTGTATATTAATTTGGAAAAGGATCACTACAGGAGCAATGCGAGCAATTTATGGCAATAATGTTAGAAGACTCTGAGGTTTCCAGAGCAACAACCAAGACATCCACGGAGCTGTGTAGATGTGCATAATTAATACTGTAAGTACTGGCACTTTCCCAGAAAAGTGGAAAAAAGGTTATATTTCTCCTATTTTTAAGAATGTTAGTAAAATATGTATAGAAAATTACAGACCCATTTGCAAAATTTCTATTTTTGCAAAGATTTTTGAGTCAATTATTGCTTCAAAAATATTTTTTCCAATTAAAAGTTTAATTATTCCTGAACAACATGACTTATGCCAGGTAGGTCTGCAACCACAAATCTAGTGATTATAGAAGAATTCATTTTAGATGCCTTGGGAAGGGGCTCAGGTCGATGTGATCTATACCTACTTCTTCAAAGGCATTTGATCAGGTTTACATCAAGATTCTTATAAAAAAAAACTAGAAGCACTAGGAATTCATGGATCCCTGCTTGAGTGGTTGGAGAGCTACCTGACAGACAGGCTTCAGGTTGTCAAAGTCATGGTGTACAAAGAATGACCTTTTACTTAATATTGATAAATGTCAAATAATGAGCTTTTTTAGAAACTCACCTATCTGTTTTAATTACTCTATAAATAATATATTTCTGGAACCAACAAACGCTTTCAAAGATTTAGGTGTATTTTTTCATTCCACTTTATGTTTCAAAAATCACTATAATTTTATTTGTAATAATGCTTTTAAATTACTTGGATTTTTGAAAAGAACCTTGTCAGAATTCAATAACCTAGATTGTTTTCTAGGTGTGTGTATTGTTCTGTGGTTAGATTAGTTCTGGAATATTCCAGCACTATTTCGTCACCTTTATATAAATGTCATATTGAAAGCATTGAGAAAGTTCAGAAAAAATGTCTGCGCTTTGTAGGCTATAAATTAGGGATTTCTTTAGAAGATATACTGTATTGTGACATTTTAAAATCACTTAATATACCAACATCAGAAAATCGTTGTTTAATGCTAGATTTGGTTTTTCTTTTCAAGATTGTAAACAGAATGATAGATTCGCCTCAAATTTTGCAGAGAATAGGTCTTAGGGTTCCTCAAAGGTGCACAAGATCTAAGGACGTTTTTCACTTAGAATTCCAACAAACAAACTATTGTCTAAATAGACCTATAAGACAAATGTGATCTGGAAATGGCTTAGATGTTTTTTTAACTCTCTGAATAGTTTTCGAAAAAAGCTGAAAAAATCTTTTAAATACAATGATGTACTTTTTAAACTGTCATTTATGTATTAATTATATTTATTTGTCTTGTGTAAATTGTATGTAATTATTATTGAGTTCTAAAACTGTTAATATGATATGAATTATTTAATGATTGTAATTATTGTAATTGGTTTAACTGTAAATAAACTATTTATTTATTTTTCTATTTCTTGTATCATAAGTGTTCTTGGGTGTAGAATTTTATCCCCTTTTTAAACAATATATACTTCCTTGACTTCTTTTTATATCTAATCTTCATGTGGTTGTCCTTTTGACAACAATTCCAAAAAATATAATTTTTACAATGAATAATATTAATTTAACTATTTCACTCACCTACACACTGTTTTGTTTTCAATTTTTTTGTCAAAAATTTATGTGTAAGATATTATATGCTTATATCAAGGTGCTTGCATTTAAGTTATTAGACATTTTAGTTTTATTTTGTTAAAATAGTATGAGTATTATCAAGAAAAACAAATATTTTTACTTACTTGGCATTTAGAATACACCGCCAACTTCAATAATTTTTCGTTGTAAGGCAAAGAAAGCACTGCCTGTTTTTTCTGTTGTATTCTTTGTAAATTATTTAATCTTGATGCATATTGCTCTGATTTTGCTTGGTTATTTGTACTTTTCTGTCCAATAGTTGGGTGCTCATTCGAATTTATTGCAGATCCTTCTGTTGATTCCTCCGATAGCTCTGACATGGTTAAGTTAACTTTTTAAAGTATTTCGCTTATTATTAAAATGTTTATGGTGTTGTATGTTTTTGTTATTAATCAGCTGCTACTTCAAAACATAACCTAAAATGGAATAGAATCTTAATTATTAACTATAATTTTATAGTTACTTAACTCACCCACAAGTTATCATTCTGTATATTTCTCGGTAATTACAGGCTACTAATTTAATCCACTAATTACAACTACAACGGACTAAAGCCATTTTAGCTTGGGTGGTTACGTGTATGTTGGGTTGCATATTCTGATCTACTTTTGGTCAAGTATGCAACTCAATATACATGAAATATCCAAAACAAAATTATTTTAGTAGAAAACAAAAATTATTATGGGAAGATTCTTCGTTCTTTACACCACGGCTCATCCCTTTCTGCTATATCAAATTCACGAAAGGTAAAGAAAATTTTGAATAACTTTTAATTTTACAAACCTCAAATCATCCTCCTGTTAGGTCATTTCAACAAATTTGTTATATACCTACTGTGAGATGAGTAACATAAAATTAATGCTGAAGCGATTAATTAAGGGGTAAGATTGGCCCAAACACAATAGTCCAATGGTCAAGAGACTACAACTTATAAATACGATACGCGAAATATTCCGATATAATCAAATATATTATTGTTTTCACTGCCTTTGTTCTCTCAACCTCTGTCATTTATCTCGGTCTTTATTTAATTTAAACAAGAGATTTGAGAGCACTGGCAATGTCGCTAATTTATCCTCGATGTGGCTATCTACGCACTTCACGTTCCGAAGCAAATCTACAGTTAGTTGCGGAAAGTGTTTTTGAAAACTCCACCGTATCTACCAGAAGACGGGTTTTAGAACTCGACATGCCTCGGTCAACTTTGCTTGTCAAGATAAGTACACGCATCTCGTTCGCGCAAACGGAATCAGCCAATTATAATTTTAAAGGCGGCATTTGAGAGTGGGCATTCTGATTGTTGTTTATTCTGTGCTTTACATGAAGTTTATTTTGACAAGAGAGTGGAATTTTCAGAATCGTTCGTAATTCGGTCTGAAATTGAAAATACTTTGGCCGATCGCATTATGGATAGATGAAGCCACATTTAAGCTAAATGGCAGGGTTAATCGACATAATTCTGTTTATTGGAGTGACAGTAATTCCCATGCGGTTTTAGAAGAAGAGTTAAATCTTCCAGGTGTTTCATTTTGGGCAGGAATTTGGAGTGGAGGGATTATAGGACCTTATTTTTTTGTTGGGAGAGTAAATAAATTATATTTTTAAAATTGCATTTTGTTTTAAATTGTTTTTGGTAAAGCAACTTTTCGTCCACCCTGTATATACTGCTAACTTGTCTAATATTTTTTGGAGTCCTTACACTCTGACTCCCAAATTGTTGTACTTTAATAGGATTAGTAAAATTAAATTGAGTAGGTAACTAAAAAGTCCAATAAATTTGAAAAGTATTTATTTATCCCATAAACCGATTTCCTTCATTTTCGTTTGAAAATACTGCTGGAGATTCTCGGCACATTGGTAGTACTCTGTTTCTGGTGAATTGTAAAACTTGCAGTTGGTGAATATTCTCATCATATCAGCTACAAATAGTCGCCTAGACACGTAGTACCTTGACTTCAATCGTTCAGCCATGGTTTTTAAATCTGGAAAATAACTCACCTGTACACAGTGATAAAATATGTTACAAGAAACAAAGAAATTTAAAAATAACGTTTGTTAAATATGCATTGGATATTAACAGGCATCAGACAACAAAGAAAAGAAATATTTTCCATCTAAGAAGATCGCTTTGCAATTAAATGCTGGTAACTTTATTAGTAGCGGACCAGATAAGCGGCGATATATTTTACACTATCTTTATGAATAACATTTTACTGCTCTGTTGTTTCAATCAGCACTGCTCAACAAGTTATCGTTTATTGGTTTTAATATTTTATTGCAATAGTACGAGTACGGAATATTTATTTAAACAGTGAATTTATTACATGTATTTTTTTTTAATTTCTTCTGACGTATCGTATAATGTAGGTTTACCCAATAATCAAAGTTATGCCTTTACAAGAACATATTATTTGAAAAATAATGAGTAAATACCATGTGTCATAATAAGTGTAATCTCCTTTATACACACTTTAAAAATTTGTTTAGTAATGTATTTCTTAAGTAGATCAAATTCAAACGTCATCATATTTCTCTTCTGTTTATCGTTAAAAATTAATTGATGGTCGTGGGTTGTATTGGTGTTATTTAATAATTTAACAAAATACATAATCAGCAAAAATCCTATTTAAAACATGCGAACGGTTTTGCAATCACAATCAATGCAGTGTTTATGCTTGTTTAGCATTGACTGTTAAATAATTTGTTTTCGATTATTTCGTCTGTTGTGCAACCCTCGTCTTTTTAGGGTGTAGTAGTTGTATATAAGTGCCTATTTTTTATAGTAGTGTAGTGAAGCTGTACTTTAAAGCAAAATGAGTAATTTGGAAGAAAATAAAATACAGTCGAAACGTAGAGTGTTATCTCCAGAAGAACGGCGTTTAGTTCTAAAAGTCGAAAGTTATTTCAATTTGGAAAAAAATAATATGGGTCCATTGACATCTGTTATGACAGTTCAGAAACGCACACGCGATGCTTGCGGTATCTCAGAGAGGACATTCCGAAGAATTAATAACATGAATGAGGATGAAATAAATAAAGTAAGCAAGAGAAATCGTCGACATCCAAAAACTTTAGATTTGCACCAGTCAATTAAACTTGCAATTAAAAATATTATATATAATATGTATAAAGCCAAATAACATGTAATAGTTAGTGCTGTGTTACAAAAAATAAAAGACAAGGAATTGTATGATATTAGTTATAGATATAACAAGTTTGTGGACAGTGCTGAAACATTTAGGTTTTCGATATAAAAAGAAAAATAATAGACAAGTATTGTGTGAACTCTCTAATCTGTTTCAAAACGATGGCATTTTTTGACGGAATGTCTGATAGTCCGAGGCAAGTTGTATTTTTAGATGAAACTTGGATTTTCGCTAAAGGAAATATGTCAAAATCTTCCTGGCAAGATGGCACCACGAAATGTTATTCTTCTAGTCGTTCCGGTAATGGTAAACGCTACATTATACTTCATGCTGGAAATGATGAGGGTTTTATTCCTGACGCTAGTTTAATTTTTTCGTCCACAAAGAATACAGGTGATTACCATGGAAATATGGATGCAAATATTTTTGAAGAATGGTTTGAAGAAAATTTGTTAAAAAAATTGGAGCGACCATCCATAATAGTGTTGGATAATGCATCCTACCACTCAAGAGTAGAAGAGAGATTTCCTTCAAGTAGCTGGACAAAAGAAGAAATAAAGTTGTGGTTGACAGAAAAGAAAATTTATCACAGTGACATATTTTTAAAAGTCGATTTAGCGACTTAAGTAACCAATTAACACCTAAGTAGCAATCTTCGTGTAATCAACGAATAAAAAGATGTAGTTAAAAATAGCTTACATAAAAACCTAAAACATAAGTGACTAAAATAAACAGCTTCCGAACTTACCCATTGGATATTTAATATGATCATAATAATCCGGTACAACATGTCTATCAACTGGTTGTCTAAAAGGCCAGGAATCTTCGTGTATCTTAACCTTAAAGAACGAAAATATATAAAATATATACGAAATGTATATCATTACTTACAGCACTTAGTACGCTTTTAAGATGACCTGCTAAAGTGTCGGCATCCTGAGTTTCTTCAAGCAACTGCCCTCTGGTGGTTCTAGATGCTGGTTTCCAACCAGTTTCTTCTATTCCTGGAATAGACTCTATGGGAATACTCCTAACCCCTAAAATAATATTTAATATTCAGTACTAGAGTTCCAGATCAGGCCATAATCTTAAGGGAGTAAGACAGGGGTGCATAATTTCACCACTAACATTCAATCTGTACTCGGAGCACATTTTTGAAGAGGCTCTAAAAGATACTGATGCAGGCATCTCAATAAATGGAGTCAAGCTCAATAACCTGCGGTATGCAGATGATACAGGTGAAAGCACACAAAGCAGCCGGCCCTGACAATATTCCACCAGAGTTGTTAAAAGCTTGCCCAGGTACAGTGGCAGAGCTAATCCAACCACTCTTGAAAAGGGCTTGGAGAGAGGAAAAGTTCCCCAAAGAATGGAAAACGGGATTAATAATAAAGATACCAAAAAAGGGTGACAGAAGATATTGCGAAAACTGGAGAGGAATCACACTTCTGAATACTATAAATAAATTAACAGCAATAATTATAAACAACCGACTAACAAACAGTGTAGAACCAATGTTGAGGAAGGAACAAGCCGGTTTCAGACCAAACAGATCATGCGTGGACCAAATTAACACACTAAGAATAATTGTAGAACAGTCACAGGAATTCAACTCTCCTCTCTTTGTGTGCTTTGTGGACTTCAAGAGAGCTTTTGACACGCTCACACATACGGCCATATGGAAAGCACTGCAGGAAATAGGAATACCAGAAAAAATAGTAAATCTCATCAAAGAACTCTACAGTGACACAGAAAGCAAAATCCTACACAACGGCATAACATCTGACCCAATAGCTATGCTAAACGGAGTAAAGCAGGGCTGTGTTTTATCCCCCATACTATTTAACATTGTACTGGACTCCGTACTAACAAAGGTAAACTCTAATAGAGGAATTTACTGGGGATTAACAAACAGACTGGAAGACCTAGATTACGCTGATGATATATGCCTCCTAGCACATACAAAACAGGACATGCAACTCCAAGTAAACAAAGTACAAGAAGAATCAAAGAAGGTTGGTCTAGAAATAAACATCAACAAAACCAAAGAAATGCGATTTGGTACCAGAAACAACCAACCTATTATGATCAACGACCAGAAAATTGAGAGAGTAGCGGAATTTGTATATCTGGGCAGCATAATTGACTGTAATGGGGGTACAGAGCGTGATGTA